CACGTTGGCCAGGCTGGCGTCCAGATTGGCAATGCCTGCTGGGAGCTCTACTGCCTGGAACATGGCATCCAGCCCGATGGCAAGATGCCAAGTGACAAGACCATTGGTGGTGGAGACGACTCCTTCAGCACCTTCTTCCGCGAGACTGGTGCTGGCACACATGTGCCCAGGGCCGTGTTTGTAGACCTGGAACCCACAGTCGTGGGTGAGTGGACCCGGGACACCTGCTGAAGCTCGCAGCTCGAGCAGGCGCCTGCAGGTTTTTAGTAATGGGCGGCCGTTTCTTCTCCTTCCAGATGAAGTGCGCAAGGGTACCTACCGCCAGCTCTTCCACCCTGATCAGCTCATCACAGGCAAGGAGGATGCTGCCAATAACTATGCCCGTGGGCACTACACCATCGGCAAGGAGATCATTGACCTGGTCTTAGAGCAGATTCGGAAACTGGTAAACACAGCATTTAAGCAATTTAAATTGGGGTTAGCGTTTTCTCTTGCAGTGTTTGTTTTTGCTCATTGAGATAGGGTCTCACTCTGCAGTCCAAGCTAGCCTTAAACTCCTGTGTGGCTCAGGGGGGCCTTGAACTCTCAATCTTCATGGCTCTGGCTCACGAGAGCTGGGATTACAGGCGTGCACCACCGTGCCTGGCCCACGATGAGACTCATTCCTGGCAATTAAAATAGCACTTGGAAGCTGGGCGTGGTGGCGCACGCCTGTAATCCCAGCACTCAGTAGGCTGAGGCAGGAGGATCTTTGTGAGTTTGAGACCAGCCTGGGCTACAAAGTGAGCTCAAGGTCAGTCTGAAGTGCATAGAGAGACCCTGTCTGAAAAAGACACACACACAAAAAAATAGCAATTGGGATCCTCGTACATTGTGTCCTTCTAAACCAGATGGTCCTGGGTTATGGCACAACGGCCAGAAGGGCACAGACCCTTGCTGAATTGGGTAGCTGTGTTCATGCCTAGTGAGGGCAATTCATCTGCTGTCAACATGAGGAGAATCCTTAACAATTTTGCAATATTTAAGGCCATTATGACTGCTTGCATCCACCTGAGACTTCATACCTTTCTACGTCATTTTAATTACACTGAGTAGCTACTTCTACATGTACCTGATTCATCAAACTCGTATAAAAAATCTGGGCTTGGCAGGCTGAGGCAGGAGGATTTTTGTGAGTTGGAGACCAGCCTGGGCTGCAACATGAGCTCAAGGCCAACCTGAACTGCATAGTGAGACCCTGTCTCAAAAAGAGC